GCTTCCGTTAGTGCTGTTATTAATGATACAGATGAAACAAAACGTACGGGACGTGTTGTTATGGCACAAGGCAATCAGATATCATTTATTACTCGTTTACTTAAAGATGATTATGGAGTACCTGGTAAATACATCAAAGAAGTATAATTTTTATTTTGTAAGAAAAAAATTAACATTTTTTTTTTGTTTTTAATAAATGGATTCATACAAGTGTTGTTTTATAAGCAGGCACTAGAAAGTAAAATGAGTTGGATTTATATTATATTCCTAATAAATTTTCAGAGAATGAATAGTAATATTGAACTAGATATGAGTGGAGCGAAGATCAACACTTTGTCTTTGGCATTGATATCTTTTATTTTCCATCATTCATGTGTTCTAAATCTTGTTTTTACTAAAATGATCAATGTAAATAAGCCCATGCAGTCTCATTGACGAAAAAATTTTCTGAAAACTTTTGATTTTCATGAGTGGCTACCATAAAAATATTCGATTATACATGTACTTCTAAAATTTTAAAACTTTCAGTGATTCCATAGCATATTCATTCGTTATAAAATCCACTTTTATTTCTTTTTGGATTTGAGTTATACCCTCTGGAAAAAAACGTTTCCAGCAATTTTGTAGAATCAAATCGCCTCCAATGTACTCTAAAATAAAGATTATCACTTTATTCACAGTTTTATTCATTTATCATATAGAAAACTTAATTTTCTTCATCAATTATCCCTGTGAATATTTTGGTGCTTGCATATTCTTTGTGAACGAAGGTTTGAGTTTGGCAGAAGGATTCAACGCGAGGTGTCTTTTACCGTGAAATACTTTTGTAACTAAAGTTTGGATCGATAAACAAAAAAAAGGAAGTATTTTGTGTTTTGAAGAAAAAATTCTAACTTTTTATGATATTGAAAATAAAAATTTCTGACTTCTAAGATTCCAATCCGGCAACCTTAGTGATGAAAAGACTGTGAAATAATATTGCAAGAAATCTAGAATAAATTTGGCTTTTGAGCCCCTGAGCTATAGGTGGCTTCGGTTCGTATTTATTTTTCGAGCTTAAGTTTATATTTAGATTGGAACGATAAATATTCTTTTGAAGCAAGTCTACATCGTTGTTAACTTTGTTTTATTTTACAAAATTCCAAGAGTTTGAGTTTGTTGAGCTCCTAAGTTCAAATATGAGTGTGGTGGATATAGATGCGTGAGGTGAGTTCTTTCCTTACGTAAACGTCATAACTCTTACTCATTACTCTTCTGACTCCCAGTATATGTGCCTTTCATTAGGTTTCTGTATATTTCGAACACTTGACTCTACTTTCAAGTTGAACATTCTATGAACCATTATAACTTTTTTCTTTATAGTTTCTGAGAATTCTCATACTCGATAAAGATCTTTCATTATACGATCTGTTTTTAAACTGCATACACACTCTTACCTCAACCTTTATTCTATAATTATTAACAACTATGAAAGTTTCAAAAAAAAACAGAGGATAGTCCCTAGTCACTTGACTGAAGAAAATGAATATTTTTGTCATTACTTTGACGCAATCAGCTGATTTTCTTACAACTCAAAAGAGAATATTGATAGGTCATATTTATATGGAAAAACATTGACAAGCACGGCTTTGAAATATCACCTTCGTTAACCTCAATAAAGAACAGTAACCTTTAGCAACGTATGTAAGAGTAATATAATGGTTTCTTTGGACAAAAGTGAGCTAAACATATTATTTTCTAGAGGTCGGTATGAGTGTGAGGTGGATGTGGGGTCCCACAGCCACACTTACATCCGACCCAGATGAATCTTCAACAACTAACGTATAGGATGTGGTAATGCAGAGTTCAACCAGCAAAACAACTGTCAACACTATGAAAGACCGAAGTACCAGAATGATGGATAAAGGTCAATTGTTCGATTCGTCTAATTGTTACTGTATTCAGTTGATCGGTCATGTGCACATTTATATGCATCCTTTTTTGATGAGCGGGTAGAGTGTCATGGTGTTGCGAAATTTATTTATAAAGATATAGTTTTACGTTTTGGATGTCCAGTAGAAATAAATACCGACTGAGGTAATAATTTTACGATGACAATATTAAATTCATATTTAAAACCCTTTGGCTACAATAGTATCATATATGATACCTGATTGTTCTACTATTCAGATGAAAAATTATTATGGCCACCATCTGAAACATCATGCTGATCAATTACATCCGAACGATTGGGTTTTAATGCATAACGAAAACAGATGAAAATTCCAATCTCCCTGAACTTGGTCTGTACAAAATTAGGAAGATTTGTCTCTTAGGAACATATCAATGAGAAGATGTCAAAGAACAAGTGAAATTAGATTTAATACATCGTGATATGTTAAAACGAGCATGTATCTGTTCAACACCAAGACAACAATTATACAAGACGTCTCGTCGAACTGGCAAACACAGCCTTGTTTAAAGATGGGTATGAGTGTGGGTGATTATCTTCTTTGTATGTACAGTCACACCCCAGATCCGCCCACACCAACACCACACTTCGACACATACACTCACACCCAGTCACACCCATACCCTCGATTTCGTCGCTATATTCAAGTAGACGATCACAAATGCTCTGTATTTTGTGACTGAACATATGTGTATGATCATCAATGGTGCTATTCTGATTTCGTTCTGATCCATATGTTGGTGAATCATTAATGAGTATAATGAAACGCGCATTTGATCGATTAGCGCTGAACAGATCTAAACAGCAATCCAATGCATCCAATAAATTTTCCAGAGTACCATCATCCTCTCACCCACTTTTCGTTAACGTTTCAAGGAAATCGATTACTTCATTTACGCTGTTGTTAAATGGTAAAATGAAAACACGAGGTGTTTCACTGACAGTTCGAAATCCAACAATAGCAAAAGCTATTGGCGTAGCCAGGATTTTTTGAGTTATGGGCCGCTTCCCATCTAAATTATGTTGAGACATGGGCGGTATTGGGCAATTGAAAACCAATTGGGCCGTAACTGAATGCTGTCAAAAATTTATTGCTATCTTCAAATCTATGTTGTTTGAAGGAAATGTGTTGCTATCAGATTAGAGATGGTCGTGTTGGCTAATATTCTCTTTTTCATAAATTAATTCTTTATTTCCAAATAACTATTTATTTATTTCTACAGCAAAAATCATGGTTAATCATAAATAGAATGAAAAGGACATCAATAAATAGAAA